CCCGGGGCCTGACGTGCGCTGCAGTACTGGCGGCGTGCTGTTTGTGCTGTGCTTATGGGCTGCTGCAAAGCCGGCGACCGGCTACGGCTTGGTGCAGCCAGCAGATGTGCAGGCCTGTTTGTTAAACCTGGGCCAACCGTCGGGCCAGCCCGCCAGGCTGCACCCGCGCGTGTTTGTTTACATGAAAATCTGTTGAGCTAGGCTGACACGCTTCGTCAAATCAAACGACTAAAGGTCTGAACCTCGAAAAACGAATCTGGGTTCCGATTCTTCGCCGCTTGGCATTACGCATTTCCTCCGCTAAAGAACGTAGAAATAGAAACGGCAGATGGGATTTCTCAGCTGTTTGTGTCCGTTTTCATTCCTATTCCTGCGATCCGTCGTGGGCACGGTTTCGGATGGCCAACAACCAGGGGCCACTCGTTCGGTTGGCTGCTAGCCTGCTACGCAGAAGAGAACAAGATTAGCAGCTCGCTCGCGAGGCAATTATTACATTAGGCCACGGAATCGAATTATTTATCCCGATACCGATATCACATGAAAAGATATCATGAGTGGTAGTAGTATTATGATGCATATACGTGTACTAACGCCAGACAGAACGGGCTCCACGGCTAACAACCACTCCCTACTCTTGGTGCGGTGTACTGGCCGGCCGCGAAATGCATGAACCGGGGGCACGACACCAGCATCAAATCGATCTGTGCTGGGGCTAACCGTGGTTGTGATTCTAAACCTGTGACCCTCTCTCAGACATGAAAACGATGCCATGCACGCATGCTGCATGCATTGCAGTTGCACAGAGAGAGAGGGCAAGCATCCGCGGCGGAAACTTGGGTTTCAAATGGACATGCAGATAACTTAAGCGGTGTGTTTTTTCGCAGGCCAGATTCGCTTGTCTTATGAGCCGTGCTATTTCAACGAACGAACGGCATAACAAATCAGTGAACATTACTTTCAGCAAAACGAACAGGGCCATGGTAAAAACTAATCCTCCTCCGTTTGTAGAGAAAATGACAGTTTGAACGAAGGAGCTGAGAATCCCGAGGCAATTAAACTCCCGCATTACTGCTCGTCGTCATCAGCGGGGACAATTAAGGTGGATGCTCGGGGCAGGCCACGAGGCCACGAAGCGAGCAGGGGCTTCCGGTCCCGGCCCCCGAGACCCCATGGGCGGAGGGTGGCCGTGAACCCGAGGCGAGAACAGAAGACTGTGGAAGGTGAATCGAGTGGATCGATGGCCTCGGTTCCGGGCCGTCGGCCCCATCTTTGCCGGGCGCACGAGTTCTGAGAGCGCGTCCTGTTTGCTCAACAGTGTACTCCCCTGTGCCTCGTCCGATGTCAAACACCCCCATAATCCGTGCATAGAGACGCTAGCTGAGCTGAGCTGAGCTGACCTCCATTTATTATCGAGTTTAGTGGCCACACCACCACTAGTACTAGCAACAGTGTACACCGTGACAGCTAGGCCATGGTGATGGCACTTGCACTTCCAGTCTACCCCAGGTGGCTTGCGGCATGCACGGGCAGTGGCAGCACGATTTGAGCTACTCCTAAACTTTGGCTGATGAGTAGGAGTACACTTTGACCGTGCGTTAGGCGTTTAGCTCGGCTGGAATCTGGGAATGTGGTCGACTAGTCCTGCTCGCTACCACCGTGCCTTGCGGGCGCGGAGCTGTTTTTACACCTCTACTCGATGGCTCTACGCGGAAAAAGGAAGATTTTTTATCTCGTCTCCATTTTCGTCCAAACACGGGAAGGTCCGAAGGTGAAACTTTCGCTGCTGCGGTGTTTCAGAGCTGTAGCTTTTCTGCAATCTTCGTACTGTAACTGCAATCTTTTTTCCTTTCTGAACTTGATCAAGCTTTGACCAGCTGACTTGCTGTGCTGCAAGCTTTTTGGCCTGCCCAGCCAGCAGAGTATCACGGGGCAGCAGCAGCAGCAGCAGCAGCTGGTGGCTTGGGCGCTTGGCCTGGCCTGGCCATGCAGCTTGCCACCTTGGCTCCGCCTGCGCTGCGTGTGTCTTGCTGCACGAGCAGGGAATTGATGGGCGCTTTTGGGGCCTGCCGCGGCAAAAGGTTTCTGGAATCTGGCCAAGTCAAATCACTGGGGCAGGGGGTACAGACCTACTCCTACGGTAAATCCCGAGCAATCACCATCGCCGTCAGTCGGCCAAGCAAGTCTCGGGATTGGGACCGTTGGCTCCCTGCCCCAGTGGACAGTGGCGCTCTCTGCTCCCTTTGTCACCGTCTCTTGGCGCTCTCTGCTCCCTTTGTCACCGTCTCTTGGCGCTCTCTGCTCCCCCTTTGTCACCGTCTCTTGGCGCTCTCTGCTCCCTTTGTCACGTCTCTCTCGCACACCCTTAATTCCTAGAAATGGCCATTCAGTCCGATCTAAATGATCAGTTTGGTTTCTCGGTTATTTGCAAAGTTTGGTTCTAAGTTAGATCGATTTCTTTCTGGCGATCAAGTATTTTAGGTCTGGCTCGGTCATTTGTTATGACCGAACTAAACGAGCTACCCATAAACACGAACAAAAAATATTACATGTCAATGAATGAAGTATAAAACAACACAAATTAGAGCACTAGAGCTTTTCATGCGTCCTCGCCTTTGGTACGTTGACCTCCCAACAAGTACATCAACATAAGTTAGAATAATTGTGCAGCGTATTGGCGCCAACAAACTGTCAAGTTGCTAAGCCGTTAGCTTGTTACCATCGTTGCCTAGATCTGCATAATTAAAAGGGGGAGAAGGGGCTTGGTGGCGCCGCCCTTGTCCGTTGTTGTGCATGCATCGCGCACGATAGGAAGAGTCCACTGTGCGACACTGTCGCGTTGAGCCACCAGCAACAATGCAAAGCAAAAATGGAGGGTACCAGGAGCAAGGACTAGGGCTTGGCGTCAATATCAGCTAGAGGAGAAGAGCTCAGGTGGGGGATCTACGGGCGACGGTCGTCCTATCCTCAAAGGTTGCAATGACTATTGGGACTTGGGGGGACTGCACATGCATGGGGAGAGGGTGGGTCGACTGGGTGGAGGGTGAGACCGTGAGAGGGTGGAGCGGCTAGGGGGTGTAGATGTGCTAGGGTTGTGTTAAATGAGCTTGAGTTGAAAACTATTGTTGGGCCTAGAACTCGTATTTCGGTTACCCAAGGCTAAAAATTGAACTAGTTGGAATTGCAGTTGGACTTAGAACTTGGTCCAAAGTAAAAATTTCAGCTCCTTTTCCGAGCATTCTGGTTCGTTTTATGGTCTTTTGGTTAACTGTCACAAAAAAAATGGTCTTTTGGTTAACGATACCCATCCCTATATGTGCTCTCTGTTCGCCTTTCGCCTAGGGGGGACCCTGACATGAGAGCGAGGAGATCACAGAAGCTGCCATGGAAATTTCACAGGCGTCCGTGAAGTCCTCCTGTCCGTACCACACAACATCATCGCTCCCAATCCCAAACCACGCCATCAATTCGTCCCTGCTCCATGTGTCCGCGTACATTTCTCGCAGATCCGGCAGCTTCCGTTGCCCCCCCTCATTGACGCGCAACGCGGCTGAACCTTCCCCACGTTTCCGACAGTGCCGTTCGAAACGGTCAATCGATCGCAGAGCCAGCCACCTCTTCCATGGTTTCTTTCGTTTGTTTGGCAGCATGGAGTGGATATGGTGGATGGCGTGCCTGTCACGACTGCAGGAACGGATCGCCGCTCTGTGCCCCTGTCTGGCAGCGTGTCTGTCTGCCCGCTGCCGACCTCGTGACTCCTCCATGTCGTCCCGACACTGCACCGCACCGGTAGCGGTTGCAGGTCAATGCGATCCCAGCAACTGCAAGAGAAAGTACACGAGGACGGCACGACGGTAGCAGAGAGAGGGAGCGGGCCGTATGCCCGTATCCAATCTAGGCCATGTTTAGTTCTCCAGATTTTCTTGAATTTGGCACTATGCAAAAAGAAGATTCCCCGTCACATCAAACTTACGGTACATGCATGGAGTACTAAATGTTAACGAAATTAAAAACTAATTACACAGTTTAATTGTACTTTACGAGACGAACGTTTTGAGCCTAATTAGTCAACGATGGAACAATTACTATCAAATAAAAACAAACGCTACAGTGTAGCTGCAGTAACGCCGAATCCGACGGCGCCGAATCCGGACTCCAACGCCCTAATCCTCCGAAACAAATCGGAGAGGCGTAGTACGCGTGCGCACGGTACGCGTACACTGCGCTCAGCGAGAATCGCACACAGCCTTTTGTTAACTCTGCAAAGTCAACGCGGTTAAATATGCCTGCTTGTTCTAGGGACTGGATCCATCGACATCAAGGAAAGAATCACCAGCAAACAAGAAGGTAAAAACACCGACATAACCAGCAAAAAAGAAAGAAAGAAAGAAAAGGGTGTCGATCTCAACACATCAACGAACATCAGCACCGAATTGTTTGTTTTCTCTGACCTCAGCAGAGTGACCCACCCACGCTCGCGTGTCCGGTGTCCCGCGCAGGCCACAGGTCGGGGGCGGCGCTGCTAACCCACACCTAATGCACGCTGTCCTTTTCTAATTCTAATCCTGATTACAATTGAGTATTTGGCTTGTGGCTTCTCACGCAAAGCTTCCCTTCCCTCGCCTCTAAACCTGCACTGCAACTGCAAGTACTTGTAGCCAGGACTAGTGCTCTTTCTTTTGTTGCGTCGCTCCACCACCACCTGCCCCCGGCACCCGCAAAAGGTCCAAGAATTCGCGGACACCTCCTCTTCTTCTTCCTCCTCCTCCACGATGGCCATGCCAAGATCCTTCCCCAAATCCTAGCACATGCGCAGCAATTTGTTTTTTCCCCAAAAGGAAGGATTTCATTCCTTCCCATTCCATGGTTTGGATTTGCCATCAAGCAAAGGCAAAGCTTCTCTCCTGTGATCTCCCTGTACCTTGGCGAGCTGTGCGACTGAATGGTTGATCCAGGTCCAGGCTGTATGTAGGATAATGAGCGGTGGCAATTCTTCGTGGTTGATGCCTCCGCCGCCGCCGCCGTCGCCGCCGCCGCCCGCGTCGTCGGCGCTCGACAACGTGGAGACCAAGATAAGCCCCAGCATCGTCTTCATCGTGGCGATCCTGGCGATCGTCTTCTTCGTCTGCGGCCTGGTGCACCTGCTGGTGCGCCACCTGCTACGGCTGCGCCGGCGCCGCAGCCGCGCGCGGGAGGACGCGGACAGCGTCACGGCGTTCCAGGGCCAGCTGCAGCAGCTCTTCCACCTGCACGACGCCGGCGTGGACCAGGCCTTCATCGACGCGCTCCCGGTGTTCCTCTACCGCAACGTCGTCGGCGACGGGGGCGGGCACGGGGAGGGCAAGGACCCGTTCGACTGCGCCGTGTGCCTGTGCGAGTTCTCGCCCGACGACCAGCTCCGGCTGCTGCCCAAGTGCAGCCACGCGTTCCACCTCGAGTGCATCGACACGTGGCTGCTGTCCCACTCCACCTGCCCGCTCTGCCGCCGGAGCCTCCTCGCCGAGCTCTCGCCGACGTGCAGCCCCGTCGTGATGGTGCTCGAGTCCGACAGCACGCGCTACATGGCCGCGTCGGCGGCTCGGGCCACTGACGACGCCGACGGCGAGCCAAGCGCTGGGGCCACGGTGGCGCAGGAAGGAGCGGAGGAAGTGGTCGAGGTGAAGCTGGGGAAGTTCAAGTGCGTCGAAGGCAACAGCGCCACCGCCAAAGCAGCAGCGGACGGAGCAGGGACCAGTGGCGACGGCGACAGCGACGCCAGTGCCCGTGCCAAGGAAGGTCTCGGGCAGAGAAGGTGCCACTCCATGGGGTCCTACGAGTACGTCATGGACGACCGCGCCTCGCTCCGCGTGGCGATCAAGCCTCCCAAGAAGAAGCCCGCGGTGTCCAAGTCGCGCCGCCGCGGCGCCATGTCGGAGTGCGAGTTCGGCGCGTCCAAGCGCGGGGAGACCTCGCTACGCCTGCCATTCCCAGCAGCAGCGCACAAGCAGCAGCTGCTGCAGTCGGACGCGGCCACGGCGAAGCTCACCAAGGACAGCTTCTCCATGTCGAAGATTTGGATGGTGCCGGCGTCCAAGAAGGACCCCGACGCGGCCGGCGAGAGGCGCGCGGTGTCGTTCCGGTGGCCCGTGAGCAGCAAGGACGAGGGAGACGGGAAGGACAGGAAGAGCGGGAGCGAGGCGGACTGGGACGTTGAGGCCGGGAGCTGCGGCGGCAACAGTGTCGTGTCGTCGCTGGCGGAGGAGAGGCCGTCCTTCGCGAGGAGGACCCTGCTCTGGGTCGTCGGAGGCCGGCAACAGAGCAGAGTCGGGAACTGTTCATGATCAGCGCACGATTATTTGAATGAAGAGAAGAAGAAAAAAAAAAGGCAAAGAAGTTCTTTTGTGCTCTTTTGGCAGATTGGTGGCAGTGAGTAGTGATTGCAATAGCTAGAAATTTGTAAAACCCAAAAGGCTCTGAAAAATTCTTTCTTTCGCTTGTGCATTCGATTCCGGCTTCATTTTAGCAGCGAGGAACCCCCTCCCAGATCAGGACTCGTCAGAAGCAGCGATGAACTGAACAGAGAAACAGCGAAATCAGCTTCAGCTGCTACCGAGACAAACATATGCAGGTCATAAACTGGAACTAACAGTTCCCTTCTCAGTTGCTAATGCAGCTAACAACAGCTTCTGAAACAGTTGACGTTGTTTGCGTTGCTGCTCAGAGATTCAGAAACCAAGAGGATCGCTATGGGAGTAGTCCTCCGGGGCAAAGAAAGGAGCCGCTGGCTGCTCTGCACCTACACGCAAGGAAAAAGGGCGTTTGGTTGGATCCGCGCATCGGATCGGCCGGTGACGGGCATGTGAGCTGCAAGCGTTGCATGCTGCGCGCAGCAGCAGCAGTGCACCGCGGCGTGCTCCTTTGTTTGCTCCTGCTTGTATTTGGAATTCTGGCAGGATGTCTTTCTCCTTTTCAGAAGCAGGCGTGCCGTCAAGTTTAGGAAGGTGGCATGCATCTTTACTTGTAAAGGAGGCACCCGCTCAGCTCTCAACAGAGATTCTCTCTCCTCTGCTACTCTGACGGCTAGTATATACATTTTGATACGGACGATCCTGAATTTATTTTTTCTGGCTCCAACGATTCAAATGTAGTGTTAAGTAGGCGTAGAACACACTGGTGATTTGAACTTTGAAGTTGAGTTCTAATTCAGGTAGTAACGCTTTTATGCGTGCGATGGAAATGGGGTGAGTCGGTAGGAGAACTGGTCCAGTGGCTGTACCAGTGACAGTAGGAGGACAAGATGTTCTCTGCCCCTCATCATCTGTTTTTGGACACTGGTGAGCTGTTCTTGCATCACCACCGGTAGCAACGGAAACGGTGGAGTCCTTCAGGTCACAGGCTGTTCCAACAGACAGTTAATGCACTTCGTACTACTACTCCAGTGCGCAAAGATGGATCTCTGCATCTCGCTTTGTTAATTATTCCGCTTTCGAGGAAAGCGGTGGTTAATGCAAGCGCACCACGCGCTGCAAATCAAGTCAAACGCATCTAACCCACGTTCACAGGTTTACTCCGGATTAATCCACGCCTGCTTTTGCAAAGCTTGTGCAGAAAAGTCCTTAGTGTTAAGTACTAGCGGTGTGAGGATCCCTGATCCGGTCCCTTCTCTCCCCACAGCAGATGACACGTGAGGAAGTTGTAGATGATTTTCCGTATCTCTTCCCAACAGCACACCAAATGAACACACATGAGAGCAAATATCGTGGAACTCTTATATCTTTTTCATTATAGATGGGTATAGGTTCCTTTATATAGTCTTAACCATTCGGGATTATATTTGGTATGAGCCCATAATTATCTTAGGGTTATTGGCCCTATTCGTTTCGCTGAAAAACAAACCGAAACACTGTTCCAACTGATTTGTTGTGAGAGAAAAACACTATTTCAGCTGAAAAAATAAGTTGAAAAGTACGGATTATAAGACAAGTGAACAGGACCATTGTTTCCCAACACTCCCCCTTGGCGCGAATACCATGATCAACTCATGCCTCATTAAAACTTCTAAAAATCCAGTGGGAAAAAATGGAGAAAGAGTACATAGTGCCGCTAGATGTATTGCATTTGTTGCCTCATTAAAAACCATCATGAGAAACTTCTAAAAACTTATTTATGGGAAAAAGAGTACAACGGTTGTCTTCAGGATATTTTATAATCTTCAGGACTATAAATTTCAGGATCTTCTGGACCCAGTAATAAGGGCAATTCAGGGGCGATCTCCCCCTGAACTTTGCATGTCTCCCCGTCATCTTATACCAATATTATGGATACATTTTCTGAATGTAGTAGCTGGTAAAGACTTAGTGAACAAATCTGCTACATTGTTACATGACTGGACTTTCAAGATATTTACCTCACCTTGCTTCTGAACTTCGTGAGTATAGAAAAATTTAGGAGATATATGCTTAGTCATATTATTCTTAATATATCCGGTTTGCATTTGTGCAACACATGCTGCATTATCCTCATATATAATAGTAGGGGTATCCACGATATTAAGACCACATAACTTCTAGATATGGTTAGTCATCCGTCGTAGCTAAGCACATTCACGTGTGACTTCATATAGCGCAATAATCTCTGAGTGGTTTGTTGATGTTGTTACCAAGGTTTGTTTGCAAGATGTCCAGAATATAGCAGTACGACCATAGAGAAATACGAAATCAGATTGAGATCTTGCATTATACGGATCAGATCGATATCCAGCATCTGCATAGCCAACCAATCTTAGATCCTGATTCTTCGGGAAATACAAGCCAAGATCTTGGGTGCCATTCAGGTATCTAAGTATTGTCTTAACGCCTACCCAATGTCTTCTGGTTGGGTTCGCATTGTGACGAGCTAGCAAATTCACTGCGAATGTAATATCAAGCCTAGTGCAGTTCACAAGGTACATCAGTGCTCCAATAGCGCTCAAATAGGAAACTTCAGGTCATAAAGGCTTCTCGTCATCACTTCTCGGTCTAAATGGGTCTTTGTCCTCCTCAAGTGATCTGACAACCATCAGGGTTTTCCCGAGATTAGCCTTTGACATATTAAATCTTTCTAAAACCTTTTTCGTGTAGGTAGATTGGTGTACAAAAATTCCTTTAGGGAGATGCTCGATCTGCAGGCCCAAGCAAAACTTGGTTCTACCCAAGTCTTTCACTTCAAACTCCGCCTTGAGGTAGGCGCTTGCTTCCTCAGTGTCTTCTTTACGGCCTATGATATTTAAGTCATCAACATAGACTGAAATAATACAAAAAAACCCTTTCGGGTTTTTCTAATAAATACACATGGAGAATCAGTATCATTAACATATCCCTTCCTCAGGAGGAAATCACTTAGCCGATTGTACCACATCTGGCCAGACTGTTTAAGCCAGTACAGTGCCCTCTGCAACTTAACACGGTACATGTTGAGATTTGTTTTAGAATATGAAAGGGTGGCCGGAGCCGAAAAAGTAATTGACTTGTATTTGATTGATTGGTTGTTCTTTTACAATAGCCGGAGTTTGGTATTTATACCGGGACTTTCGACTCCTATCTAAGCCGACTATCATTTTGACTTTAATAAAACATTCCTAATTTAAGATAACTTGGACTCTAATCTTTCCATTTTTTGCAGAGTCCTACATGTTTTCGTTCCTGCGCTCATAGCATCTATCCATTGGCGATTCAAAAGCCGATTCTAGTTTTTGCATCCGAATCACCGTTCATCATCTCAGATTTTAAATTTAAGCTCGTCATATATATTAAATATCACTCATAACACTCATAACTAGAGAATATGTTTCATCATAATCTATGCCGGATCTCTGTGTGAACCCTTGTGCTACGAGCCTCGCTTTTGTATCTCACCACCACATTGTTCTCATCTTTCTTTCGAACAAACACCCATTTGTATCCTACAGGGAATACTTTGGGGGCGTGCCGGCGACAGGCCTGAATACTTGCCTCTTAGAAAGCAAGCGCAATTCCGTCTCTATTGCTTCTTTCCATTTGACCCAATCTGAACGCTTACGGCACTCTGCCATGGACTTTGGTTCAGGGTCCTCATTAATTGCTTCCGCGATTTTAGAGACGAAATTAATGTCGACATATGTATTCTTTCCGTTATATAGTTCTCCAGACTTAGCATAATTTATGGCAATTTCTTCAATTTAATCATCTAGCTTGTCATGATTTCCCATATTACTCGAGCCTGTTTGTTCCATTGTACTTGTGCTATTATTTGTATTTGTGCGCACATTTGCACTAGGACTTTCACCTTCAGGATGTGTCACTGCTGGGACGACTGAATGGGAGCGTAATGCGTTCTCTCTAACAACTTGATTTTGTGGGCGTCCCCGCTTGGCTTGTGCCGAGCCATCCGGATCTCTCCCCCTTTCCCTAGGATTGGGGATTTGGGTAGAGTTCATGCCCTCCAGGGGTATCTCCACTCTCTCCGGTGCATTAGCTATAGGAATATACGATTTTAACACTCCTTTTATATCAGTAAACGCGTCTAGTAAATTATTCGCTAATTGTTATAGGTTTATTATTCTTTGAACTTCAAGTTCAGTATCTTTAGTGCGTGGATCAAGCGATTGAATGCTGCTGGAAGTCCAATCTATTTCTCAGCATTCTTTATTATTAAGGTACAATTCTCCCCCTAATGCCAGGAAATGATCTTCATCAAAGATGCTATCAGCGTACCGAGCCGTAAACAAATCGCCGGTTCTAGGCTCTAAATATTTGACTATGGACGGAGAGTCATAACCTATATATATCCCCAACTTCCGATGAGGTCCCATAGTTGTATGCTGGGGTGGTGATATCGGCACATATATAGCACAGCCGAATTTTCGTAGATGGAAAATCATTGGTTGTTGTCCATGCGCTAACTGGATTAAGGCAGCAGCGTGCAGATGGGGCAGAGTGAGAGACAGATGGCCTATACTGGATTAAGGCAGTAACGTGCAGCACTACGTGTCCCCAACAACTGGTTGGAAGTCTGCCATCTTATAGAAGCAGTCTGACAATTAATTTTATTCTTTTTATTAAAGATTTAGCAAGCCCGTTTATGTGTGCACATGGGGCACAAAATGCTCTACATTTATGCCCAAAGCAAGACAATAATCATTAAATGCTTTTGAGGTGAACTCTCCAGCATTATCCATCCTGATTACTTTTATGCGGTTCTCCGGAAAGCTAGCACGCAATCAAATGATTTGGGCAATAAATTTTGCAAAAGCATGGTTCCGCGTAGACAACAGGCATACGTGGCTCCACCAAGTAGAAGCATTTATAAGCACCATAAAGTATCTAAAAGGCCCCGACAGGGGGTGATTAGGACCACAAATGTCACCTTGGATTCTCTACAGAAAACCTAGGGACTCGACATTTAACTTCAGGTAAGAGGGTTTAGTTATTAATTCTCCTTTAACACAAGACACGCATAGAAAGTCTTTAGAAATTTGTGTGGTTTTAATGCCATGACCAGCAGATACTTTTATGATGTTCCGCATCATCCTTAATCCAGGGTGTCCGAGTCTTTCATGCCAGATCGTAAAAGACTCAAGATTTTTAAATATAGTAGACATCGCAACGTATTCTTGAGGTGGTTTAATTTTTATGTAGTAAATTCCAGAGGAGGTGCCTGACGCTTTTTCTACCACTTTTGTCCCACATTCGTCTGCTGTTGTGATATAGAGGTATTCAACACCATTTTCACAAGCAGTTGTAACGTGGTAGCCACTACGACGTATATCTTTGAATGTGAGGAGAGTATGTACAGCTCCCGGGTACAAAAATGCTTCTTCTATGAAAAAGCTGGTATTATTAGGGAGTACAACCACAGCTCGATCGGAGCCTACAATATGGCCGTTGCGACCAACAATTGTGGTAATATTATCAGTCTTTTTTCTGCAGTGTCTGAAAATATTTTGTCTCTCCAAGTATTGTTTTTGTAGCAGCGCTATCAACCAGGCAAAATTCTTCTTCAACCTCCATGAAAAGTACGACTCTTGTTCTATTAAATATAGTACTAATTTAATCTGTCATGTATAATCAATATAGCAAGACGATTAAAAGATAGCACATAACCGAACAAGGGATAAATTGATTAAGATAATGCTATGCACCAAGACATTCATGTTGAGAGTTAATGCTAACAAAAATAATAAAGTTGCTCAACTGGAGCACTATAAATTGATTAAAATAATGCTATGAACCAAACCATTCATACCGAGAGTTTATCCTAGCAGAATAATGAAGTTGCTCAACGGGAGCATTATTACATCACACGGGACTTTAATTGTTTTGCTGAAAATAAATCACATTGGCTAACAAATAAACAAATGGCTGATAACTTGGTCTGCTCCTCGTCAAGGAGATCCTCGTTGTCGAGGTCAAAATCATCATCACCAGTATAGGCATCTCCCTTTTCAGCAATATGATCACCGGTAGCATTATGATCAACATCCATAGATGCTGATTCATGCTTCTCTGTAGGTTCTGATGGCTCCGGGAGGTGTAGTCCAATCACGTCACGCATCGATAGATGCCTGGACGAAGTGTACCTCTGGGTTTTGGCGCTTCTTCCACTCTTGATATAGCTCAATCAAGTGTGGGTTGGTAGTGCAAGTACGAGACCAATGCTGGTGGGATCCATAGCACCCTCATTTGAGTGTTTCCCTCCACTTGCCTCGTCCTTTGAGCCCTTTAGGGACTTGCCTTTGCCATTACCATTGAACTTCTGACCTTTGCCATTGCCATTGGACTTCTGGCCTCTGTTCTTAAACTTTCCCCCTTTTTGCCCCTTGTGACCATGAAACTTTTGACCCTTGTTTCTGAAAGAACCTTTACCGTTGCCGTTACAGAAACTGGCATGTGCTTCAGGATGTGCCTGTGTCCCAGCAGGGCGCATGTGGAAGTTCTTCATCAAGAGTTCATTCTGAGCCTCAGCGGCAAGCAGCACATTCATGAAATCACAGTACTTCATGTACTTGTTGTTACGGTACTGCTGCTGGAGTACCATGTTGGTGGGGTGGAAAGTCTCGAGAGTTTTCTCAATCATCTCGAGTTCAATGATGACCTGGTCACAAAAGCGAAGCTGAGCCACGATACGGTGAATCGCAGTATTATATGCCTCAACTCTCTTGAAGTCGAGGAAGCGGAGTTGTGCCCAATCACGCCTGGCCTATGGGAGAAGTACTGCCTTCTGCTTGCCAAAGCATTCCTGAAGCTTCACCCACAGTACCAGAGGGTCTTTCACCTCCAGGTACTCCATCTTCAAGTCAGGATGAATATGATGCCTCAGGAAGATGCAAGCTTTTGCCTTGTCATGGGGTGGCGGAGCAGGAACACCGGCTGCAGGCCTGGCGATCGTGGGAGTCAGCTGCATCGCCTGCAGATGGAACTCACAGTCGACTGCCCAGGTTTGATAGTTCTTGCCGTTCAGCTCAAGAACCTCGAACTCTGTCTTGTTGATCGAAGCCATTGCCTATTAATTCATGCAAATTAACTTTCGGTAAATAAGCATGAAGTAGTATGTATAGCCATGAATGAATTATTATCAATGCAAAAGAAAAGTGACATAAAAAATATACACGCAAGGCATACAGCAGTGGTCTGCAGCCGCCGACATCGCAAGATAGCCATCAGGGCCATGATGGTGTCGCAAGTTTCAGTAGCCAGCGGGGCCACGATGCATGCATAAGTAATGCGCAACTTCAGGCAACACAACGCGTGGAAGTTTGCTGGCTTACGTTTCAAACGCGTTGGGTTGGCCGGCGGTGCAACATGAAAACAATTGGAATAAACTAGCGTGCATGCATGGCATGGCCAATGTCCATGGATGGCGTAGTAGTACACACCGGCGTACATGCACAGCATGATGGGGTGGCCGATGTCAGGTGGCAAACCAAAGATAAAAAGATATCATCGGTAAAAACAAGATCAATCTATTACACAAACTAGCAATAAATAAGACCAATCTACTAGGGTTCTTAAAAAAAATAGTATCCAAAGATTGGATCTGTTATATAAAAAAAAACTAGAACGCGTCTAGGCTGCTAGCCGAACAAATCTACAAGATTGTGTTGTTCGAGATGTCATAATCAAATAATTTAGTAGCTAGTAAAAACAAATCTATTAATCTAGCATACTAGTGCTCATGTGGTGAGATATATAAACGGTAAAGATCAATCTAGAACAAGTAAACTAGCCAGAGAAAAACGATCTGCTACGTATCTAGCATGCTAGTTGTATACATGAAACCGATTTAGATTGAAAACAGGAACGAATCTTTGAGCGGATGGATCCAACAGGATCAAGAACAACATACCGTCGTTGATGAGCAGCGGTAGAGCGTGCGGATAACATGTTAAGTAACAGCGGTGTTGCGGATCCCTGATCCGGTTCCCTTCCCTCCCCACAGCAGATATGAGATGTGAGGAAGTTGTAGATGATTTCCCGTATCCCTTCCCAACAGCACACCAGATAAACACATAGGAGAGCAAATATTGTGGAACTCTTATATCTTCTTCATTATAGATGAGTACAGATTCTTTTATATAGTCTAAATCCTTCGGGGGTATATATTTGGTATGAGCCCATAATTATCTTAGGGTTATTGTTTTCCAACACTTAGAACTAGGGCTATGTATTACCAACTACGCAAATTTGTGGAGCTGGAGCAATGATATACTGCGTTTAAAAAAAAAAAGAGTCTCCAGGCCTATTTGGAACCTATGAATTTCATAGCAATGGAATTTCGAAGAATAGAGAAAAAAAACCGTGTTGCAAACAGACTAACAGAGGCTCAAGTTTGTCTTGCCGTCGCCAATGCTTCAGGGCCAACATTAGATCACGGATTACCAAATTTTTCCGGTGGATCGGCACCACCATGCATACACACATCACACGTGTCACGGTCTCTCTAGTGGGCCCCCAGGAGCATCCCATTGACCACATTCATGTTCATGTGCCGCTTGGTCAGTCGTTCGTTCGTTCCTCGTTCGTCGGTGCCGTGGTTTCAAGCTTTCAGCTCAATGGACCCCTCGGCTTTCTTTTTGTGGGCTTCGTGCTGCCTGCTTTTGAATTGTTGTAGAGACGCATAGAGCGAGAGACGGAGGAGGATCCATGCATGCTCGGCCTCACAGACTGGGCCTTTGCATGCCTCCGGCGCCCTCCTTAATTTTGGGGCCCATCTTTATTGATTAGGACTGTACCCCGCAAATGGGCCTGGAGTCCCACCGGGCTATTACCTAGCCCGCCCTTTTTTCGTTGGCAGGCTAATGCTGAGAGCCCCATTAGACGCTTTCAGAAGTTGAAGTGCCTGTACTGCTACTAAAGTGCTTGTACCTTTTTTATGTACAAGGATGCTTACAGCATATTACATCCCTTTCCAAATTATAAATATTTTTAATTTTTCTAAATAAATAATAAAGACATAACATACATTATTTTCAGCTTTTTACCATGCACCTAGTAGAGAACTGCATTTGAAACTTAAATGCATAGTTAAATATCCTATGGACGTTGTTGTCTTTAACATAAACACTATATTACTATGGCCACCTGTCTATTTGATTAACCGTTTTTCCAGCTTATATTAGCTTTGTTTATGGCCTGTTTGGCACAGCTCACGACAGCTTCGTGAGCTGTTGTGAGCTGTTTTATTTGTCAAACACTTATTTTCAAAACAGTTTCATGGTGAAGTTATTTTTCTTCTCCTCTTACAAAAATATGAGTTGAGATGAAGCTGAAAAAAGTATCTTATACCGGCTCTCTCCCTCGTTTCTCTCTCATCCATACATGAAGTTGTTGGTGAATCTGTTTTGCCAAACAATTTTTCCAAAATAGCTCTGCTATGCCTAGAAAATTACTCATAAAAATAGGGCTTTAAACCGTCTCTCGTCCAAGTAAATGGCTAAACGATAGATGACGACTGTTTACGTTCAGGTGCACACGGGTCTAGTATTAGCCTTTGTCGCTTGTCAACCAAAGACGTCTTCTTTCTCTGGAAAAAAGTACGCACACCAAGGACACGGAAGCAAGCCACGAACCCCCTTTTTTTGTCAACGAATATGCCCTACGGATCCGATCGTCCACTAGAAGAGACAGTACCAGAGGAATCAACTTGCGCAACCTACCAAGTTGGGTCACGAGGCACGGAACAACGCAGCCGCGCGCGACGTCTAATCCCTTTTCCTTGCTTGCCGTCCATCCTCGCCTCGACTAGGGGCGTGTTTGGGACCGCGTTTCTTGCAGCGGCGGTGAAAACAATCTTAGAATCATGCCAAACGCTCTCATGGTGCGATGATTCTTTTCCTTGCACATGGCATCGGAACAGCACAAATGAACTGGCTTCTGCGTTTTTTGCACCGCGACCCTCGCGCCACGATACATGTACCGCACCGCGCGGTGGGTAACCGCGGTCCCAAACACGCCCTAGGACGAATCGGCAATCGCGGCCGCCGAGAAGGTGCTGCCGCCTGCCGGCCTTGCCCTCCTCGTGTCTAGAGCCAATTGTTTAGCGCTCAAGAACAACGCCTGCACGCCGCGGATATGCTTTTTAGATAGTAGGTATATACAGACGGTTCGTTTGAATGTTTCTGTGGCTTATAAATCGACTGATGTTGTTTTGTTGTGAGAGAAAAACACTGTATCATGGTTAAAAAATATGACTGATACAAGCGAACAGGGTGATAAAATCTCACTTGGACGAAGTTGGAAGCCTGTACTGTCGTGTCCTTTGGCCAGACCGTGGATCTTCTCGGATTTCTTGGAGGCGATGTCACGTTGGTTACGTTGAACAAGAGCTCACCTCTAGCTAGCTCCATCCATCCCGGTGCATTGTCCAAGCCGATCGAGAGCATCTGATCCCAATGATGACATGGTAGGTACATACAGAGAATGAACGAACGAAGGAAGCCAGGATATTCTTTGCTTCATCGCCATCGGCCCAATTATTCGACCAGAGGCATCGGTCACATGCATGTGCCTTGCCTCCTCCAGCTTCGTTCGTTCGGTCCGGATAAAACGGATCTGCATGCATCGTGCGTATGGAAACTCCAAAGCGGGTTGTGCCGTGGAACGGTTCGATTCAGAGTTTCGTTCCAGTGGCGTGGCGGCATGGCGCCATGGCTATGGACTATACTATTAGCTAGGGTGGAGCCTTGGAGTTGGATCATGTCCAGAGAGCAGACAGACAGTGAACAGGCGCGTACCCGTCGTCGGAGGCTTGGGCCGGAGCGTACCGGAGTCTGAAGCCGGCCCATCAGGTCTCGCCCCTATGCTCGGGGGTGCGGGGGACGGAGCCTCCCGTGGTACGGTACGGTATATACACCCTTGCTAGGGTTTCGTGGAGACTTGATTCTCTTGTAAGCCGCCATAGGCGTGTAACCCAAAACTCTTGAGATAGTGAGATTGTTCTTTGGTGGTGCCCGTGGTTTTTCCCTTCACATCGGAGGGTTTTTCCACGTTAAATCGTGTGTCTCCTCCGTGGTTTGATTCTTTACTTCATATTCCTATCGTCGTTCATAACAAGTGGTACCGAGCTTTGGTTGTTGTTAGGGTTCATGACGACGCGTCGATGAAGTTCGATCTTCCGCTTCTTTGAACTACGACACGCGGTTCTCACTATGGCAAGTCAAGATGCGGGGATTACAGCGCAGACTCATGACTATGATGAGGCGCCGGATAGTTTCGGAAAGAGGAAGGCCGAGTGGACTCTAGAAGAGATCCGCAAGGATCGAGGCGCCGTTCTAATTCCTAATTGAGTTGCATCTTCATAATGATATTTTGCGGAGTGTCGAAAGATAAAACTGCTGCAGAACTATATATTTGGCTCGGAATCGATCTGTATGTCCAAGGATCTAACCAAGAAGATGCAGATGAAGATGAAGTTGTTCACCACGAAGATGAAGGAGGATGATTCAAAGTGATGAGCCACATCGCTGAATTCAAGAAGATCGTCGCCGACCTAGTGTCGATGGAGGTGAAGTATGATGATGAGGACTTAGGTCTTTTACTGCTATGTTCTTTGCCAAATTCGTATGCAAATTTTCGTGACACCATACTTTTGAGTCGTGATTGACTAACCCTAAAGGAAGTTTATGAGGCTCTCCAGTCTAGGGAGAAGATGAGAGGCATGGTGCAGAATGACGGGACGTCGTCCTCCAAGGGCGATGCTTTGCATGTGAGAGGCAGAACTGAAAACAGATCCTCCAATGATGGCAATGATGGAAGAAAGAACTACGAAAGGAGAGGCCGTTCAAAGTCCAAGCCGCATGGTAATAAAAAGTTCTGTGTTTATTGCAAGCTGACAAATCATAATGTTGAGAATTGCAGAAAAGTACAGAATAAGGAGAAGAGGAAAAACAAGTCGGCTGGTAAAGTCTCTGTTGCTGCTGCTGCGTCTGATGATGATTATGGAGATTGTCTGGTAGTATTTGCTGGTTGTGTTGCTGTTCATGATGAATGGATTCTCGATTC